GAAAGATGAACTAGGTTATTTAGACGATGAAGAAGGCAGGGCAACCGATCCAAATTGCCCGCGCCAATCCACGGATCAATGAAATGTTATCGGTCATGATGAATGGGTGCTCCCATACATAAATTATTTTTCTTAAAATAAAAAAAACTTGAAACATATACAGGCCCTCGGCAGGCTTGGGTCTATTTTCGCGCCAATGCGAAATGATTTTGGCGCGAAAAATAGGTGCGCGCCTAATGCGAAACGATTTTGGCGCCACATCAGCAAACATCTTGGCGCCGCCCGTGGCAAGAAAGCAGAAGGAACTCCCTCGCAAGACAGAGCGGAGCAGAGCAGTTCAGCGATCCGCCGATCTCGCCAGAAAGAAATGGAGCCGTGGCGGAGAGGCGAGGGGTCCAGCCTCAAGAAGCCCATGGCCCCGCCCGTGGCCTCCCTCGGCGCCGAACTCCTGGGGAAGATACTCCGCCGCCTCCCCGACATGGCATCGCTCGCCAGCGCCGCCCGCGTCTGCAAGCGCTGGGGCCGCGTGGCCTCCGACCCGGCCGTCTTCCGCCGCTTCGGCTCCCTCCGCAGGCCCCCGCTCGTCGGCGTCCTCGTCACCGACCGCGGCCGCGAGAAGTCCCCCCTCTACTGCTCTGATATCTGCTTCATCAAGGCCCCCTCGCGCAACAACCCCGAGCTGGCCTCCGCCGCGGCGAGCGGCGACTTCTACTTCATGCACCACCCCGACGTCGACGACGACGACGAGTGGCGCCTCCGCGGCTGCGACGGCGGCTTCCTCCTCTTCTCCCTCGGCCGCTACAGCACGGACCTCGCCGTGTACGACCCCATCGACCGGACCGCCGTCTTCTTCAAGCCGCCCCACGACTTCCGCCCGTTCCTCTACGCCATCGTCGCCGACGAGGCCGACGCCTCGTTCCTGGTCATCGCCATACAGCCCGACCCCTGGGGCGACGACGCCTCGGTCGTCTTCTCCTCCCGCACCCGCAGCTGGGCCGAGAACGGCTCGGTGCGCTACAGATTTGCCTGGCCCCACACCGACGGCATTGCCGCCGGGCGGTTCGCCTACTGGCGGTCCAACACCAAGAAGGACCGTTATTGCGAAGCGAAGGAGGAGATATTGGTGGTTGACACGGCAACCATGGCGTGGTCGTACATGACTGCGCCGGTCGCGGTCGGGGAATCGTACTGCGTGGCGCACATGGCGGAGCACGGCGGGCTGTGCATCGTGTCCAGCAAGGAGCAACGCGTGCTGCTCTGGGTCCGTGATGCCAACGGTGGATGGGTGGTCAAGAAGGAGGTCTCGCTGTCGAATCAGTTTCCATATCTGAAGAAGCTTCGTCGTGATCAGTGGATGAAGAGGGTGCGCATCCTGGCAATGAGGGCTGGCTATGTGTACATGGAGTTCTGGTCCATAAGGAAGACCGACTCCTATCTTCTTGTGCTCAATCTCAACACCGTCAAGCTGGAAATATTTCTCAACAATGGGCTCAACAATGAGGGCAAGCCTTACAGAGGTCCTGCTTTTCCGTTCTTCTTACGGATGGCACCTCTGCCTGCCGCAGATGATGACGAGAAGCTTCAAGATGCTTGATAGCATGGAGTAGGTAATCTCCTATTTGTTAGATTTATTTCTCTTGTTTCTACTTCAGGATGCTTCATAACATGGAGTATGTAATCTACTACTACCCATGTTTTTAAATATAAGACGTTTTGGCAATTTAAATTGAACTCCCAAAACATCGTATATTTCGGAACAGAGGGTGTATTTGTTAGATTTATTTATCTAGTTTTTACTTCGGTCGATCTAGATATCTAATTACTGTTGCAAATTGCTCACCAAGCCATTTGGATAACGATGTTCTCTGTTCTGAAAATTG